TCGGCTTTGGGAGATATTTTGTGGGTTTGTCAAGCAATTCATTGGGGTAAGCATTCTCTACCCGCATTGTATCATATTTCATGAATCCCTTGCTATTTTCATCATTTAATTAGTGAATTAAGATGGGAATTTGAGGAAAATTTGTAAAATCTTTCAAAAGTGTAAAATGATGATTTGAAGGACGAATTGATATCGGAATTTGGTATTTCTTGTATGGTTGAACTCGTATCAAAATGGGTGTTCGGGTTTTGTATATTTTATCGGGTTCCGAGGTGCGGACCCAGGGGTGACTTTTGGGTTGACTTTTTAGTTGTTGTTAAAGATTGAAGCTTTATTATCTAGAATTGTCTCATATGTGTTTTATTTATGATTTGAAGTTATTTTTGGCTAGATTTGAGCCCCCCGGAGGTTGTTTCACTCGAGAAGGTCATTTTAGAGTATCTCTCTAGCTTCTTTGAGATAAGTATCTTGACTAACTTTCTGTGGGGGAACTACCCCTTAGGATTTGAGTCATTCGTGCTAATTGTGTCATGGGATGGTCGTGTACGCGAGGTGAGGAGTACGTGCTCGGGCTAATTTGTGGAAACTTTAACCATTTAGGACTCCTAGGTTCTTATTTTCATTAGATATGAAGTTGTTTATCTTGTTAAATCCCCCAATTACTAAATTCACCCTTATGTGTCTTAATTGGAATTAATTGCATCATGTTCTACCCTTATTGCTGATTAAACTCTTATGTGCCTTAACTGAAGTTGTTGCCTTTTTTATTGTCATGCTATCCTTCCCGTAATTGCTTAACCTTAATTGAAATTATTATTATCTCTTCCGTAATTGATTAGCCTTAATTGAAGTTTGTTATCCCTTTCATTGTTGCCGTACTCTTATTTGGGTTCATTGATTCATGCTATCTCTCTTGTTGTTGAATTGTACTTCTGTGGTATCATTGTTACACATTACCTCTCCCTTGTTGAACTATTCTTGTTAAGACTATTATTTCACTGTGGTGTCTTTCTTCGTGAGTTCGTTCTTCCGTTTCTTTGTGTTCTGAAGTTCTTGTGTTGATTTACTTGCTGTATTCTCGTGTTATTGTTGTTGTTGCTATTGTATTAGTGTTGTATAGTCGATGGCTATGCGTGGTTGTGATATTGAAACTGTTTTGAGGAAATATTGTGGCATATAGGCACATATTGTGAAAGTCATTTTGTTGAGTTGTTATGTTTTGGCACACATGTTATTGTTGAGAGAATTGTTATATTGTTTACACGAGGTTTCTACCATGCTATTTTTATATTGTTTGCACAAGGTTTCTGCCATACTATTGTTATTATTGATACGCATGTGGTGGTATATGGTGTGGGTATTGAAACGCATGTGCTGAGATAAGGTGGGCTTGATACGCATAGCTAGTAGGGGAACTACTAGAAGTCATGCGGTGTGATAAAACGCGAGATGCTATTTCGGAAAAAATAATTTTCAAAACTAAATGTAAAGGCTCCCGCTGTGATATAAGGAAAGTTTATGATTCATTTTATGATTTGAGACTACGAGGAAGTACCTCAGTAGGGCTCTTGTTGACATTTTCCCATTCTTTTGTACTTGTCTTTGATTATTGTTTCCTTAGCATACTATTAATTGTCTTTCTCTGTATTGCGCTATTTTTTTAGTTCTGTGTAGTTAACCGTGTTGTACTATTCGTGGTTTCCATTTCATGGCTGTCTTTATTACATTGTACACTTTGTGGTAATCGTTTCTTATGTACCATTCATTGTCCCTACTCTTACTTGTTGACTTGAATTATGGTAGAACACTTTCACAAGAATACACGTAGATAAATCACCCATATCGGCCTAAGAAGATGAATCTTGATGTTTTGACCATTTACATGTACCACCTATACTTGCCTTATATGTGAGAATTATCCTGTTGGCACGTGAGTTGTCCGTGCAGTCATGAGTCATTATTATTGTCGGCACGTGAGTGGTCCGTGCGGATATTAGATATTGTCACCCCTTGGGCCGTGCTGTTATGAATTGTAATGTGGGCACAAGATGCCAAGTGATTATGGTTCACGAATTGGGACCCGTGATTGTGATTTTGATGTTTGGTACCTCGTGAAAATTCTTGGATAAACCTGGGGTGAAAGCGGTTGTTCCTACTGAGTTTTCACTTGTCTTCCCTTAATTGGTTTCACCGGATTTAACTATGTTCAGCTTACTCTATAGTGTTATTACCTGTTGTATCTCGTTGCTTACTGTTGTTTTTAGTCCCTATTACAAACATTGTATTATTATTGTCATCATGCCTAGATTATTATTGATATTGTTCCCTATTAGCTCTACATTTATACCTGTTCAAGTTGTTTAGTCCAGTGGGTGTCTTTATTGTTCCTCGTCACTACTCCACCGAAGTTAGTCTTGATACTTACTGTATACCATTGTGGTGTACTCATACTAGGCTTCAACACATTTTTGTGCAGATCCAGGTGCCTCGGATATTGTTGATTATTAGCTAGCTAGTCGAGCATTGTTGTGGAGACTCAAGGTAAACCTGTCGTCGTGTTCGCAGCCCTCGAGTCACCTTCTGATATTGTACTTGTACTGTTTAATTCTTTTCCGAACAGTTGTAATTAAATATTTTTCTAATAAACTCAGTAGAACTTATGACTTGTAGTACTGGTTTTGTGATGTTATTTCATGTTGTAAATGTTGAGTTCCTTTAGAAATATCCGTTTTCTGCTTAATAGTTCTGTTGGTTAATTTCTGTCAATTTATTCAATAAGTGTTAGGCTTACCTAGTCGTAGATACTAGGTGCCGTCACGACATCCTACAGATGAAAACTGGGGTCGTGACATTGGTATTATTGACCCTCAAGAATACTTTACCAAATGAATGATACTAACTCAAATAACAAAGTCAAAGTATAGCATATTTACTAAGTGAGAACATTATAGTGAATATTATTTGAACATTTCTTCTACAAATGTACAGATATACGAAATATAGATCTTCACTTATAATTGGTCTCGATATCTTAGTTTTGTGTCTCTAAAAATATTAAACTTTTATTATTTTATAATTTGAAAGGATTTATGTATTTATTTATGAAGGAGTAAAATTTTAAATTACTATAATATAATTTATTATTTATTATTTACTTTTAGGAAGGTAATTATTACGACCCGAGATTCTCACCCTCGGGGCCGTGATGGCGCCTAATATTTCACTTGCTAGGCAAGTCAACGTTAGAAATAGTTTCTAGCCATTTTTTTCAAAGTCCAATTAAGTGATACCAATAGACTGAATAAACTGAAATAAAAACTGAAATAGAGTGAATAAACCAAAATATTTGCAATCCCAGAACTCGAGTCACAAGTGCACGAGCGACTAGAATAATACAAATAATGGTCTGAATGAAAGTAAAACTGCCTGAAATGAAATAAACAGCTAGGATAAGGTAGAAGGGGACTTCAGGGCTGCGAACGTCGTGCAACTGTACCTCAAGTCTCCGCCAGGCAATCAATTCGAGCAATCTACTGATCGCGGCTAGGACCGTCTCCAAAATCTGCACAAGACGTGTAGAGTATAGTATGCGTACAACTGACCCCATGTACTCTGTAAGTGCCAAGCCTAACTTCGATTAAGTAGTGACGAGGCTAAGGTGGGTCACTTACAATAACATGTATGCAATATAATAATGATAACAAGAAAGGAACACGGTAAAGGAAAATCAGTCAACTTATGAAATTAAACTCAATCTTTGAAATCGGTAAAACTAGAAACATCAGTCCTCAGAATCTGGAATGAAAACACTGAAGCTACCACTATGCAACAATGAATATAATACACATAATCCATTGCGGCGCGCAACCCGATCCTATCGTACAAACACAATCCTCCCTTATTTTACCATATCAATATCATGATAACATATAAAATCGGTTGCGGCGCGCAACCCAATCCCACCATATAATCAGAATCAATATCATAATCCTCCTTTATTTCACCATATCAAAATCACAAATAAAATCCATTGCAGTGTGCAACACAATCCCACCATAGCAATATCAATCCTCCCTTATTCCACCCGTTGCAGCGTGCAACCCGATCCATAAATAAAATCAATAAATGAAATCAACTCAACAACTCAATTCACAAGAATCACTATGATTAAAGAATATGAAGGCGAAGCCATAAAGGAACCTCGTACCAAGTCAAGGAATGCTACAATTAATACAAAATAACAAGCCAAGCCAAATACAAGATAGTTAAAGTGTACATGTAAGACAATTAAGGCAAGTAGCAATTAATCATCGAAGCATGGGAAAAACGAACATTTTAATATGGGAATAAGGAGCGACAAGTAGCAAGTTAAGGCATAGGAAGAAATTTAAAGCATGCAACAGTTAAGACATGGAATAAAATAATTAATGAAATATGCGAAAGCACGGAAACAATTACTTTGACGTTGTATATACACTTGTCACCTCGTATATACGCCGCTACACATGTAACTCACATAACACATAGTTCAAGGTTTCCAAATTCCCTCAAATCAAGATTAGACCCAACACTTACCTCGCTCCGCAAGCAAATCAAAGCTCAACCGGGGCCTTTCCTCTAAAATGCACATCTGAACAAACCGAATCTAACCAAAACCGACTTAATATCAACAAACAATACTAGGAAAATCAATTACATTACAAAAATTTAAGATCTTTTCACTTTTTTCCAAAACGTCAACAAAAGTCAACCTCGGGCTCGCTTGGTCAAAATCTGAGATTCAGACCAAAACCCGATTATCCATTCACCCCGAGTCTGAATATGTGAATATTTTCGAAATCCAACTCCAATTTGAGGTCTAAGTCCCAATTTTACAAAAATTCTTAATTCTACCCAAATCCCTAATTTCTACCATGAAAATCCTAGATTTAATGTTGAAAAGAAATAGAGTACAGTTGCTTACCAATATTTTTGGAAAGAAAATCCTCTTAGAAAATCACCTCTAGGGATTTTAGGGTTGAGAGTTTGTGAAAATATGAGCTAAATCCCGCATTCTCATCATTTTGTCGAGGCGCAAATGTTGCAATTGCAACCTGTTGCGAACCCGCAAATGCGAGAAATCTATCGCAATTGCGAAAAAGTCGCATCTCTGCTGCCATCACAAATGCCAACTTGGGCATTCCGCAAATGCGACCAAATTGATCGCAATTGCGAACTAGCTCCCCCCAGCCCCCAATCGCAAATGCGAAGAATTTGTTCGTAAATGCGAACCTATCGCAATTGCGATCCTAACCTCGCAAATGCGAGATCTAAGACCTGGGCACAAAACAAGCAAAATCCTACTCTTTCAAATACTCTGTTATGCGTCCGAAACTCACCCGAGCCTTCGGGGATCCAAACAAAAAATGCACACAAGTGTAATAACATCATAACTCCTAGAACTATGAATCAGACACCAAAACGAATGAAATTTTCAAAGAAACTTAAGAACTTTCAATTTTACAACCGGACATCCGAATCATGTCAAATCAACTCTCTTTTGCACCAAGTTTTGCAGACAAGTCATAAATACTGAAATGAACCTATACTAAGTTTCGAAGCCGAAATCTGAACCAAGTAGCAACAAAGTCAACCTACGGTCAAACTTAGAAATTCTGTAAACCTTTAAATTGTTAGTATTCAACAAATTACGTTAATTCAAGTTAGGGACTTCTGAATTCGATTTCGGGCATACGCTCAAGTTTCAAATCATTATACGGACCTACCAGGACTATCAAAACACTGATTTGGGTCCGTTTACATAAATCGTTGACCGTAGTCAACTCAAATTAGTTTTAAGAAAAACTTTCACATTTTCTTTAGTTGCACATAAATATTTTTCGGAAAAAGATACAGATTGTGCACGCAAATCAAGTAAGGTTAAATGGAACTATTCGAGGTTTCGAAACACACAAATGAAGGCTAAAACTGAAAATGACCTATCAGGTCATCACAGTAATTATGTATAGTTGATAATATTTTTATATTTTTATTATTTATTTAAAAGTTAAGACATTATAATTGATTTGTATCTCATAATAATTTTAACACCATTGCATTATTCATACTTGCAAAAACATGTTACATATTTTAATTTTTATGAGTTTTTTTTTATCTTTTAATGTTTTTAAACTTTTAATGTACTTTCTATTGTCGGCATTATTGTACTATTTTTTAAATTTAAAAATTTAAAAATTATGTTTATTCAATAATATTACTAGTACTTGTTAAATGTTGAATTTAAAAATAAAGTAAAGAAAATATATATATATATATATATATATATAAACGAAGACCATTTATGATTCACATAATTGCTAACCAAAAGTTAGAGAATTGTTAGACCCCCAAACGGCCGAAACCTCAAGACCCTAACATGTTGGGGATTCTAAAATTGGTTCAATATTTTACCAAATCCGTCGAATTTTAGTCAAATTTGATTTCCATCTCTGTAATATATCCCCCCTCTACAAATTGTAGTTCCGAAAAAAGCTATGTATGAAGAGTATGGGAGATTTAAAAGGAAAAGATTTTGGCGGTAAGAATTTTCGGCCTCCTAATTTTAAAATTACAGTTTTCTTTTAAATTTATTTTCAGAGTATATTTGAATTTTCTGTAAAAACTCTTTACATTGTCGTAAATCTTATCTGAAGTTCTAAGTGTATATACTGATAGTGTAAAACATATTCACTTAGATTAATTTAAAGGAGAGTTCGTGCCACGACCCGGAATTCCCACCCTCGGGACCGTGATGGTGCCTAGCATTTCACTTGCTAGGCAAGCCAACGTTAGAATTAAGTTTTATCCATTTTTAAAAATTCCAATTAAATAATAACTCGGAAACTGAAATAACTGGAATAGAGTGAGAAAACCATAATAACAACGATGTCTAGATACAATCCTAGAACTGGTGTCACAAGTTCACTAGCGACTAGAGTAATACAAATAATGGTCTGAATGAAAACATGACTGTCCTAAATGAAACAAACAACTAGAATAAGGTAGAAGGGGACTTCAGGGTGGCGGATGCCATGCAACTACAGCTCAAGTCCCCATCAGGCAATCAATCCGAGAAATTTACTGACCGCTGCTAGGATTGACTCCAAAATCTGCACAAGAAGTGGAAAGTGTAGTATGAGTACAACCGACCTTATGTACACTATAAGTGTCAAGACTAACCTCGACGAAGTATTGACGAGGCTAAGGCGGGTCACTTATAATAACTTGTACGGAGTATAATGATAATCGCAAGAAATGAACTCATGAAAAGTAAGGCAGTTAACTTATGAAAATAAACTCAATTCTCGAAATCAGTAAAACCAGAAACATCAGTCCTCCGAATCTCGTATGAAAACACTGAAAGCTAACACAGTGCAACAATGAATACAAAACACATAATCTGTTGCGGCGCGCAGCCCGATCCCACCGTACAAATATAATCCTCCCTTATTTCACCATATAAATATCAAGAATAATATGTAAAATCCGTTGCGGCGCGGAACCCGATCCTATCATATAATCAGAATCAATATCATAATCCTCCCTTATTCACTACTAGAAATTAGGCCAAAACTAACCAACTTCGGTCGGTCGGTCAAAAAACCGACCTATCAAAATATTTTATTTTTTAATTTATTTTTACGAAACCGACCAACTTCAGTCGATTTTTCTTTTTCTGCAAAAATGCAAGAAACCATTTTAGCGTTCCGCAAAATTTATTTTTTAAGAAACCGACCGAAATCGGTTAGTTTTTCATATAAAATAAATTAAAATTAATATTCAAAACACCGACCGAAATCAGTCGGTTATTTTAGTAAGTCATTTTAAAAAATTAACCGACTTCGGTTGGTAATTTTATATTTTAATAAAACCGACCAAAATCAGTCGGTTATTTTTGTGTGAAAATACAATTAAAGAGTACAAATAAAATAAATAAAAGTCTTAAACCAAAATGTACCAATGGTCTAGTGGTAAAATAATATCCTCCTACAGTACATACCCAGGTTCTATTCCTAGACGGTTCAATTTTTTAATTGCATAATTAAAAATACAGACTGATTTCGGTCGATCTTTTCGGCATATTTTTTCTTTTTGGGCCGTTTGTAAAATTTAATTGACTGACTGAAATCGGTCAAAAATTGCGACTCACTTCGATCGCTATTTATTACCGACCAACCTAATTTCGACGGATTAAAGTCGATCGGAAATCAATCGATATTTCCAGTTTTGCGACAGATTTCGGTCGGTATTTATTGACGGTTTTAGGCATTTTTCTAGTAGTGATTTCACCATATCAAAATCACATATAAAATCCGTTGCGGCGTGCAACCCAATCCTACTATATCAATGTCAATACTCTCTTATTTCACCCATTACGGCGTGTAACCCGGTCCATAAACAAAATCAATAAATGTAATCAATTCAACTCACACGAATCTCTACGATTAAAGAATAAGAAAGCAAATCTATAAAGGAACCTCGTACCAAATCAAGAAAATACTACAATTAATACAAAGCAACAAGAAAAGGCAAATATATGAAGGGATATATAAAGAAATATAGGGTGCCTATTTAATTACTAAATCATATTCTTTATTAGGTCTGCTAACTGGTGAGATTATGGGTAAGAGTTCTTATTCTTCTAAGGAGAAGGTGTTAGGCACCCTTAAACTCTGCCTGAGGTAGCTCCATAGGACTTAGAGTAATTTTAAGAGATTAGTTATTTGTACTATACTTAATTACTATTTAAGTGTACGACTATCCGTATATCTAAAGAAGAGTATAAAAGGGGATGTGAGACTTAAGAGGAGTTTGAATTTATAAAGAAGTTTAAAGGTATGTTGAAGAAGTTTCGAAATATGTATGCAAATAGTCCGTATTTGTAAAGCATGCGAAAAGAGTTTGGATTATAAAACACTTGCTCTAGAGGATGGGTATAATTCTAAGAGACGTTTGTAAAAGTGAGCCTAAGATATACCTTGATTTGAGGATTTAAAGAGAAGCCATTTTTGTTGAAAATCCTTTAAGGCGATAGTACTTCATTTTTTGCTAAATTCTGATTTGTCTCTTGAAGATAAAGCCTACGACTCAGATCTGATTTCTTTTTTGAAAATGGGCCATTGTTTTTACTAAATTCTGGGCTTTTAAAATGCTATGAGAAAAAATCATTGACACTTTTTGGTTCTTTTTTGAAAATGGGCCACTGTCAATACTCAAATGCTATGAGAAATTATACTAACGTGGTAGTTATACATGGAAAATAATTTACATGGAAAACCTTTCATTGTCATTAAATACTAAACCCCTAAAGAACCAAAAGTATTAATGAATTAGAGGCTAAGGATGAAGTTTTACTCAAGGTCGATGCCCCCTTTGAATTTTCTGACACTTCAAAGTCTCAAGGGACTCAAGGCCCAGGGCATGCTAGGGAGGGCAGCCCAACCTAGAGTTAAACTCCGCTGCCAAATACCCCTAACAACTAACGACTTATTTTTTCCCTATGGGTTTAAATTCCAATGAGACCCTTTTAATGTAAACTAAATGTTATAGTATCCCTTACCACAAAAGTATACTATCCTTCTAACAAAATAACATAAGGGTACACAAACAATTCTACATTATTTTCTAACAACAGATGAACAATCCACATGTTAGGTAAATCTGAAGGTCAGACCTTAGAACACACATAAGAGAAAAACAGAAACATTATAACATACTGTTAAAGGTCTAAACATTAGGGAAGACACATTCAGAAGGGAAGGTAAAGAATATATAGTTCATATATGCAACAACACAAGAATATAGACAGATGCTCCTGCTCTGGTAGACTAATTGTGAATTGATTACCTAGCTACTAGCACATACATGGATTAGTAACACTACTTAGAACTTTAAAAGGTGTTAATAAAGATTCAGGCAAATAGTTGTAACTAACCACTTTTACAGAAGTTATTAGAGATATTAGAAACATGACTACAGGTTAACAGATTTGAACATGGAATCCCTAAGAGGCTCAACATGATCACATTCATAACAATATTAACCTTAAACAAGCCATTATGTTCATATAGTATCAACAGAGAACTTCTCACAAGATTTTGATACCAGGTTCATTTCAAATTGGCAATGAGGAGAGGACTGA